TAACACCCTGTTCGATTTGATTTGGAAAATGGAAATTTGTCCATTCAGATCGCCGTTGAAAAATTCGCACAGGCCCCAAGGTTTGTTCGTTTTTCCATAATTTGCGTTTGTAAACTAAGTAAGACTCAAAAAGGGGCGTATATTTAAGTAAAAGTGCGGTGGGTCGAGCTGGGCGTATGTGTTGTGAGCGCGACGGCTGGACAAAATAAGCTTTACGCGCGACATTTAAGAAGGCCAGCCATAGGATTAAGGGAGGGAGATAAGGGTACGTGGTTGAACAAGGAAGTATTGCGTATACCAAAGCTGGAGACGTAGGTGGATAAGGAGACGAAGGACGGTAACCAGACGAAGCCCTGAGTGTAAAAAAGGGATGCTTAAGATGTACTGGTACCACTCCTGAAAGGGAAAATGGGTCCTTCCGATAAAATGGAAAATGGCGCCAGACAAGGATCCCATAGAAAAATTGTTTGTTGAGAAATGGAGCTAAACAAGAAAATGTAAAAGATAAGACGAAAATTAGGGGGATATGGGAAGGGCATATGGTAGTGACAAACTGCATGAAGTGGAGAAATATTACATAAAGAGAAACTATGATGTTTGTATCTATTTATTGTTTTGGCAATTTTTTTGCAAAATGTAAACTATGAAAGTTTGTTTGGCACTGTATGCCAGCCGTTGAAACAGTCGAATATTATCAGCTGTGGGAAAGCAGTGAGTGCTAATTCAGATACCCAGATAAACGAGCCTGTATGTGCATTGTCTTGTCTTTGTTTCATCCCTAAACTGTAAACACAGACGGTAGAGTCCGTGCCATATATTAAAAATATTTATCAAAGTTGTTTGCATATTCCAAAGGACCGAGTAAATTTGCAGTCTGTGTTTCATCCCTTAACTATAAAATCGAATGTGGGTTGGAGTGGGAATCGTCAGTACAGCCTCCTACTCGCCACTTAGCAAAAAAATTAAATAGAAATGTGTGTGTGCACATGCAAATCTTCCGCCAATTTCCACCTCTTTCTTCCACTTCTGGATGGTACTCATGCGCTGCATAACGCCAAACAATTCCTGTCTCATTTCAGGCTGTCCGGAGTGCGAATGTGACTGCGGTAAAGCCCGATGCACCGATGGCAGTTATCCGGCCAAGTTGATCCATAAATATCCTCAGACTCAATCATGCCAGTGCAGATGTGACTGCACCGTCATTTGCTAATAACTTGGTTTTGCTTCTCAAAAAATTTTTTCCTGTAAATAGGATGGGCCAAAACAATTAAATCCCCACATGAGGTGAAAGTACCAGAATTGCTCCGCAATAATCCCTCAGAGAAATGGCTCACGCCACAACCAAATATGTTCTTTGATCCCATGGCTTATTATTCTATTATTCTCATCTGTGTCACCCACGTCACGAGCAGATATGATTTGTTCTTTCATCCCCATGGCTTATTCTTCTACTGTTCTTGCCATCTGTGCCACAAACCCAACTGTATTAATGAGAAGTTATAATACGAAGAAACGGAAGAGGGAAGAAGGGAGGTGAGAAATGGAAATAAAAAACTTTTTATGATTATAATGGTTAAAAGTGTTTCGGCCCATTAAGCCGTATACATTTCTTACCATTACCACAACTGGACTTTGCCAGTACGAATGAAAGCGTAACTGTTGGAAGCTTTATCTACAGGCGTAATTAGAAACCCGGAAATCTCTACCTAACCAAATGTTTTTGATGGAACCAGCCCTGAGCGTACATGCACTCCATGCTGAACCTGTGGTCATTTTGCTTCACAGTCCTGCTTCTTCCTGACTGCCCATTTTTTCACCATGATGCTGCCCAAATCATGCCAAGTATTTCTCGCTTGAAACTCTCCAATCTGTACATGTCCACATAATTTTTTTTTAAACCGTAAAAGTGTTATGTTTCTTCCTGCATTGGTACCATCCCCCACAAAAATTTTTTATCTTAACCGAAAAAAAGTAGAGTTCTATTGTAAAACCATTTTAAAAACACCAATAATAAGTTGAAGAATATACTAGAAACTGGTTTATACTTTGTGTTTTACAACCGAATGGATAACTTTTTTGCAAAAATTGAACAGAAAAAATAACATATACACTTTGCAGCCTTTACATAAAATCCGAATTTTTAGCCAAACTACGAATTTTGATTTTTAGTAAATTTTTAAAAGAATTCAATAAAAAATTAAACTGGTTCAAAATACCGAGAAACTGGGGGTTCTTGTCGGAGACCGGGGGTTTTTTCGAATTCTCACCAGAAGCCTAATTCACGAGGAACAGACTTCTTCCAAACGCAGTGAATCTTCAAGAATTAGCTTAAACAGTGAAATACAAAAACAGTAAAAAAAAAAAAATACAACAAATTCTGCTGCTCCACGTACTACGAAATAGAGAAGCCCAAAAACCACACAGAGTGCTGTATCGCGAGTTACACAAGAACGGCGAGATCTGTCGGTTTTTGGCTTCTACCATTTCGCGCCAGGATTTGTTGCAGCACCGGAGCCTGGTGCATTAGCACCAGCACCAGCAGCCGCAGCAGCAGCTCCACTGTTGTTGCTCAGCGTACTCCAGAATGCCTGCCAAGCAGCATCCACCATATCCGGATTCACGTTCATCTTGTTCAAACTCAGCGCATCCAGACCGGAAGCCAGCGCCTGACTTGTGCCCGCACGTCCCGGGGTTGTGTATCGCGGTGAATTGGTGTAGCCCGGTGAAAAACGATTCGTACCACGCGTATCCGGTGATCGATAGGTCCCGGCTCGCCAATTATCCACCGAACGTGACACCAGCGGATCGTACGGGAAAGCTCCCTGTTGTTTTATATTTTAGTTTAAGCAAAAAAAAAAAAAAATTAGAGTAGGAAATTTCCCTAGGAATTGTGTTTCCAACACAACTACAAATGTTATTGAAAGCACACTTCCCACGACAAGTTTCTGGTTTATACGTGAGTAAAGCCCCGAAGTTTGGGCACCCCAAAAATCAATGTATCGCCAATCTGATCACCAATTCGTAATGCAGCAAAAGTCAAGCATCTGAGTGCGCAAAAAAGACGGACTTGACGTATCAGTAAGTGGCATTCGTGAAAAAGTAAAAAATCGGTACAGATGGAACACACACATAAACATACACACACAATCCCTCGATAATATGCATTTTTGCATTGCATAGCTGCAAAAAAGCCGCATAAAAACGACTTGTAAGTTTTTCCACCCACTGAACATGCAGTCGGTACTAGCTGGATGTATATGTGTAGGCCAGGATT